TCAATAGGATAATTTGCATTCACAGACAAGGGTTATAAGATGGAACAAAGCAAAGAACAGCAGATAAACAAAATTATTTATATTTAAAAGAGGACTATTTATATTGGTGATGAATGGTAGTATTTCAGATATCCTATGATTATAATGTTATTTGATGCAGATGTTCTCAGTCCTGCTAAGTCTGTCTGTTCCCATTGGTGGGGTCTGGTGAATCAGGGAGTTAGAGTGATGGTACAGTGGGTAAATGTGCCTGCCTCCAAGCCCAAGAATCCTAGAGGCTTATGTGGTTAAAGGGGAGAGATGGTTCCTGTGATCTCTTCTGTCTGTCTGTCTGTCTGTCTGTCTGTCTGCCTCTCTCTCTCTCTCTCTCTCTCTCTCTATATATATATATATATATATATATATATATATATATATATTTATATATATCACTCACTCTTATTTATCTGTCTGTCTTTGTCCCTTTCTCTCTTTCTAAATTATAAGTAAAGGTTTTAGCATTCTCACCACTGGAACCTCAGGGACATGGCTGCAATAAATTTGAATTGAATATTGATAATGAGGCACTGTGCAACATGCCAACTCAAAGTGAAGGATACTGTAAGGATGACTGTTCACCACAGACAGTACACTTCAAAATCCACAAAAATGCTAGTGAAAATGACATGCTTTCTTATTCCTCAAGAATGGAATGTACTGTTTGCTGGCAATCACAGTATTTAGCATGGCAAGGTAAAATTTAGCTATAAGCTTATACTTTCTGAAAATTCAACTTTAAACAGAAAAATATTTAGGGATGGATGAAAATATGAAAAGTTTTAGCAACTCTTTTCGATAAGATCATTACCAATAGAAAAATGTCAACAGTTGGATTACATATATCACAACAATTATGAATTCTTACGAGAGTCCATCTTAATCAATGTTGCATCACATGTGAGAGATGATTTTATATTCAATAAAAAGAGAAATGATTAAAGAAAAGACCATGAAAAAAAGAAGCAAAGAAAAAACCAAAATCTACATGTAATTAATTAATGCAGAAAGAGGGAGAAATTGTCTTCTCTAGGGATGAATCCATTAATTGTTATTCTAATACCAGTACACAACCCTAAATATATATACATATAGTCAACACCAAATGTACTTAGCAGATTATAAATATTCATATATACATATATAATTAAAATAAAAGAGTCTATGAATTTGGGAGGCTGTAGGGGTGACTAACAAAAATTGAGTAGGGAGGGGGAAGAAATGAAGTAAATACAGTCCTCATATGTGAAATTTTCAATAAAATGTGCTGCCTCTGTAACTATAATAAATGATGGGAAGTTAGAGAACATAACATAAAAATATTCATATATAATAG